TCTCTACTTAAAGAACTAACAAAAAACATTTAAGAAAATTGTGATTATAACTAAAGACTTAAACCTTTATATAGGTTTTTATGTTCTAATCCGACGTGGAGTAGGATTACAATTTCCTACTTGAACTCTTAAACAAAATTTAACTAAAATACTTACTTAAAAATATTAAAATAATTAAGTCTTATTCATATTTAACTAAAATAATCTGATAAAATTTTAAAATAATCTTCTATCCTTGTCCAAATCTCCATGTAGTTTGATCTTCTTTGAACTCCCAATTTGAGTGGAAATTCTCTTCCAATTTTGCATTTTAAACACATAGGAATATTTGTAGAAGTCACTTGCTTGCTGGAATTAGAAGCAAATTAAGAAAATGTGAGAAAAGCTTTGGACTCAATATGTTGTCCGCATGAGGTAGGTGCGGCAACTTCCAAGTACACATGGCATGCGTGCGTGTGCGGCAGTAACAGCCTGTATAAGCGCGACTCCACGCACGATCTGCTCTGGCATGCACTCTGGTGTGCGTGCAAAGTCTTCTGTCCGAACAGGTGCATCCCAGGCACACAGTCTGCTATTGTGCGTGTGCAGCAGTTCCACACATGCGTTGACTGCTGCGTGCGGCTTCAGCTTTCTCACACACCAGCATGCTTCCAAGCGTGCGGACTAGGCTGGGTCACAGACTGCTCACCCCGCACACGTGGACCTCCACGTGCACACTCAATGGGCTTCCAAGCCCATGTCTTGGCTCAAGTTTCCTCCTCTTGGTGCGACCTCCTTGGGTCGGGCCTCTCCTTGGCCGTGAGACCTTGATGTCTTGTTTTGGTCCAAGATTTGGGCTTTTCTCGGGTTGGGTCAACAATGGACATTTCTTGTGTTCAAGCCCATGAATCCAATTGGGCCTTAAACCTCCTTTAAACCAATTTGGCCCATTCTTTGGAATAACTGCATTTAAAAAAGTAGTTAGCGATGAAGTTACTTTCCTGTTCAGAGTGTTTACGATTAGGAAACTAGAATTTACTTTCTTTTTTGAGCTGATCCCGTTTAGGAAACAAAAGGGTTTTGGAATTGCTCGCCTGTTTGGAACGGGACCTTCTGGAACCCTTGCGGGAAAAGATTTTTTCTTCTACACGCATGCAGGTCTGCGCCTGCGTGTGCACGTCTGCTGTGCTACATGTGCGCCACCTCGTATTGCAGTGGACTCGCAAGTAATTGTTCTGCCGGAGTCTGGATTTCCGTGGGGTTCCTCCTTGATGCAGGATTGCATCTTTGGAACTAACTTTGGACCGTTTAGGATCACGTCACACTTGTAGCAACAGCATTCACAGAAACCTATGGAATTCATTATCAGAAAACATTTGCTCCAGTGACAAAAATAAACTCCATTAGAGTCTTACTGTTCATAGTTGTGACTTCAAATTGACCCTTACACCAGTTAGATGTTAAAAATACCTTCTTGAATCGAGATCTCAGCTAAGAAATGTTTATGAGCCTACCACCAGGATATGAGAAACTCTTGCAACGACAAAGTTTGCAAACCAAAAAAACAATCTCTATATGATCTCAAACAGTTTCCTAACACCTGGTTTGAAAGCTTTAGGACTGTCAAAAAGGCCATAGTTCTTGTCAGAATCAACCCAAATTGCAACGTGAACATCATCACTAAAGGCCTTAATGAATAACCATTTTCTGTCATATTGAAATAAATTTTAAATCAACTGCACACAGACTAGATCTCTCCATATACCTTAGACTAGGAAAAAGGCATCAATTAATTACAAAATTTTCTGAGTGTGTTACTATCCTGCTAATTAGAACCTTATGTCTTTCACAAAATCAGAAAAAACATATAAGTACCTTGAAAAGGCTAAAAGGCATCTGTTTCTGAATACGGAAACTAGGAACTTTTTTATGATCTACTAGATCAAAATATATATGCTTCCCAATCTGTTGATGTAGATCCTCGGAACGTGCAACCTAAAGATGCAAAAACTTTTCAACCAGTAAGTAGTTTTCAATAAGTGGATAATCCAGAATTTTTTCTGATTAAAGGGTGGGAGAGAGACAGACAGACAGACAGAGAGAAAGAGAAAGATTTTGAAGATTTCAACCTTTATTACAGTATACAGATGTGCCTCTGCTTTTTCCTTTCTCTTATGCTCCTTCTCTTCTTGTTCTTTCTTCAACCTTATCTGATATGTAACATTCAAAGGGCACAACACTGTTACAAACAGAACAATAACTTTTCTGCGATCAATAAGCATCAAAAGACACCTTACCCTTAGGTGTTCAGCAATGTCCTTCTCATCAACATTACAAATTATTTTGTCCTTATCACACTCGCGTATATACACCAACATGTATGCATTAGAATATTTGGTAAACTTGAAAGGAGAATTGTTAAACCCGGGATTTGTTTGCGGCAACTGTTCATCATAATAAGGGAGAATACAAACGTTGATTAAAAAGAGAAAGGATAAAAACAGATGGAAATAACCAGAGAACAGTACCTCTTCCTCACCACCATACTGCTCCTCTTGTGCTCTTTTCATGTCTTCTTTTGTAACACGTTCATCATCAAATTTATACCTAGGTCAGGCTCAACCAATATTGTGCAAGTTATAATACATAGAAAAAAGAAAAAAGAATTATATACTTGTGCAAGATGGTGCACCATTCTCTGGAGAAACAAAATATTCTATTAGGATGTTTTCTAAGAGCCAAAAATGCACCCATGAAGATGCATCAATCAAAACTTATGTCATGAGGGTTAGGAGATTCAGTCTCTTGAGTCAACCACAAAAATATTCTCCGAGTTTCCTGCCCTCAACCTACTAGCCCATAACTGCTCTTTCCCACCCCATTTGAAAAATGAAAGTCCACTATGAGCTGAGAGTTCTTTTGTATTAACTGCAGTTCTGAACAGGATTGACGCAAATGATATAATCTAGGAAAGTTCAGAGCAATATCCACATTTTTTTTCATAGTCAATAGGGGTGGTAGATTTGATTCAAATTGATTCCCAAGTTTTTGAATTGTGGTTGTCTCCCCGTATATTTAGAAATTTGACCTTTACTAATTTCATTTCTGCTTCTTCAGACTAGCCTTTGTGCTGCAGAAGAATAGTGGACAGAATACTAATAATTTGGGAGTGGAAGAATGGAGGACAGAGCAATAATAATTTGTGCAATCAAAATCTGCCCAGCCAAGACTAGAAAGAGCTCTGTCAAGTACCACAGACATATACTTAGTCGAGGATTAGAGCTGAGAATATTAAGGTTTTGGTAGTAGAAAGACAGAATGAGAAAGAAGAGAGGGAGTAGAGAGAGAGAAAAGAGAGAGAAAAGCAGGAGAAAGAGAGGAAGGCACCAAGAATTCAGAGAATTTGCTGACGATTGAATTAGGAATTTCGCAAATGTGCTTGTCATGCACTATTCTGGCGTTCCATTCCCCTTTTTTACTGATTCCCGACATAGATAAAGACAAATAACAGCAAAACCAAAAGGCAAAAAAGAAAAGAGAAAGGAAAACATATCTGCCAGAGGCAGTATACGTGCAATAACAACTTGTAACTCATCCCAAAATTAAGCTAAATCACCAGAAATTAGCTGTAAGAACTAAGGTTTGACACTGCTAACATGGTAGCCATTTATTTGGTTACCACAATGAATTGTAAGCGCTGCTAATATACATGCAGTGGCTTCATGGGCCCTGCAGGTAGAGCCTGTGGCAGAGGTGGGGTACTGGCTTGAGTCCTCAGCACTTCCAAGCTCACTCATCAACACTTTCTTTCTAGGAATCTATTACTATTTCATATGGAAAGTGGATCTTTTTGGAAACTTCAATAATTGGGAGGAAAAAGGAATATATTAGACTACATAATCTCATCTCTCTTGTTAGTGTCTCGCCCTAAGAGGTTGATTTTCCTTTGTGGAAATCTACTATCAAGGGCTGCTTCTCAGCAAGATATCTCCATCTTACACTCTCCCCCTCTGCCTAATACGACTCAGGGAATTGCTTTTTCTTTATTTGAGAGGCTGTGCATAGAAAGATTCTTATTATTGATAACCTGAGGTAAGGGAAAAAGTGAAAATTTATAATTAAATTTTTTATTTACTGAATTTTTATACATGATACTTAATTTACAACAACTAAATATATATAGGGGAAGATTTGAGAGAATTTTAATAGGAAACTAAATACAAATCAGTCCCATAAAAAAAGACTTTCAGTTATCTAAATCGACTATGATTTTATTTTATAAGAGGATTTCTTTAAAAATACCAATCTATATAGGGATTGCCTTCTATAAGAAATAGGATCCTTACGCTCCTCCTCAAGTTGGTTTGAAAATGTTGAGCAAACCAAAACTCAATTATTTGAAAGTCTTCCTAGATAATGCCTTCATGAAATATCCATGCCTTAATGGGAAGACTGAATGTGCCACAAGAATAGTGCTTTTGACTCTATCTTCTCTTTAACAAAGAGTATCAACTTTTACACGCTTAGTTCGATGATGAACTGGATTCTTTACTATATTTATTGTGGATTAATAACATAGTAGGATAGTAAGAGAAAAATAAGGAGAATGTGCAGCAGTAACTGCTTTGGCAATAACCACCAAAACAACTGCTCCTCATCCCTCAAAAATCAGTTGTCGTTTTTGAAACTGGATATTCATAAAAATCTGTCAAAAAAATTTTTAAGAATTATAACTCGAGGAGATTGTTGTATTCTCTTTTAATGAGCTCATACTATTAACAAAATCTCATAACAAGATCCGTAAATTGGAACTGTAATAGCCTTTGAACCAAGTTGTTCTAAAAATTCCTTCGAGTTATGGAAAGCTATGGTGGAAGATTATCGTCCTATAGCAAGAGATTAGATGACAAGGATGCCTTTTCACACTTATGGTTGTAGCCTTCGGAAAGCATCAAGAAAGCTTCGCTTGTTATTAATAACCTTATTCATTTCAAAATTGGCAACTAGCGGAGAATGATGTTCTAGGAGAACAGCGATGTGGTGACTCTCCTTTGAAGAATCATTTCTCACGATCTATTGTTTAGCTTCCAACAACTACATGTCAATTTACACTCTATGCGTGCAAAGTGGGGGTTGAACTTCTAGAACATTGGGCTAAGCCACAATTCTAACAATCGGGATGTAAAGTATGCAAACTTGCTTATTGCCAATGAGGTGCACTCAAGGTAATAGAGTTTAGAGGGTACCCCGATTTGGGGTCTTTTCTAAGAATGCTAATTTCTCAATCATGTCTACCTATTTTACCCTCTTGATCCTGAATTTGGAAACTCGAGGTACTCTCTATTTGTCATTAATCACAAAACTATTCTCGAAAGCCTATTTGGAAACAAAAAGCCTCCCTTACAGTTAGTTTCTTTGTCAATGAACTCGCTCGGAATCGCATCCTACCAATGATAGTCTGAGGAAGAATGATTGCATCATTATCAACCGTTGTCCACTTTACTTACATGGCCATAAATCCCTCAACCATCTATATTATTGTGTTTTAAAGGAAGAAGGCTCTGGGTTTCAAATTTTAGTCTTTTACGCATTAAGTTGAAGATGAATGGGTCTGGTAACCTAGTTAGTAGCTTGGGATGGTCCCACCACCAAAAAAATAAGCCAATTGCCCCCTATTTCTCATACTGTTATCTAGATTATAAGGAGAGAAAGAAATAAAACATCTTCAAATGTATCATCTGTTTTGCTAGTGTTAAAGATCAATGGTTCTAAATCATAAGTATTTTGTTTAAACGGAATGCTACTATTGATGGAAAAGACTTACGAGAGCTCATTTATTTTTCGGCTGAGCCCCTTATGCAACTTCTTACTTCTTTTTTCTAGTTTTGTACATTGGTTACACTCCCCTGGGTATCTTTTATGATATTTGTGTTTTCCACTAAAAGAAAGATTTTGGAATTAGAAAGATAAGGTCAAGAAAGATAATTGTCTACCATTCCCAAAAACCTGTCTACCATTAGTAGCCTCATAATTTAAGCATCTCTCCGACTACATTAATCACACCAAATATACGCTAAATAAAATATTGCTTAATGTGATATTTGAACGACTAGCAAATGTAGAGAAACTCATGCTAACATCCAAGATTGAGAGTTACAATATCGTACAAAATGATACACACCATTGGTCTGAGAGGGTTGGTCTAATATAAGCATAGTAGTGTCCACCGTGAACCCCACCACTGTGGACCAGAACACTGCAAACAAACAAACATTTCGTAATTACAATCTCCATACATACAAAACAAGATGGACAATTAAGTGTCTATGTTCAGCAATGAAACTGATACCTATGAAGAGTATAAAGATTACGAACACTTCTGTCTGCCTCGGGAGACAAATATTTACCATCATCTCTATCAAGATCAAGTTGTAAAGGAAATTCATAGCGGTCATTTATCTGTTGAATATGAAAACAAAAAATAGCTATAAATTCATTATGACCCCACATCTACACTAAATTGAAGTTTTATGAAAATACATATATTATTAAAAAGAGGAGAAAAAAGCACAAAAGCAAAGGATGCAAAATCTTCTTAACAATACAAGAAAAGAGAAAGGTCGCATAAAAGTGAAGGTAACACTGCATCCCAGTCCCTATGCAAGATAGCCAAAGAGACATCTCCAAATAAACCATGAGCCTTAGTCTGAAAGAAGCTATGTAAATCAGTCTATCCCAAAGGAAGGACAGAGGAAAGAAACAAGTTAAGACGATTTATCCCAAAGGAAGGACAAAGGAAGGAAATGATTCTTGAAAAATCTAGCATTAACTCCAGCTGTAAAACCATAAACCAGCAAAAGACAATTTCTCTCCAAAGCAACTTAGCTTCCTTCCTCACCTTAACCAGCTAGAAGAAAGCAGACAGGAAACACTCAAGACAAGGGGGATTTGGAGGAAGCAAGAATTTCTACCTTTCTCCATACTGTCATTAATAATATTTCTTTTACTATAAAAAAAAATAAGGCAAGAATTTTGTAAGCACGATTTGAAAAAGGAACCTGATGAATATGATAGATAGTTTTAGTTTGAAAAGTGTTAAAATATTATAAAATATTCTTTGTACATAATAGTATCATTATCTTTTCAAATATGTAAGTGTAGTTACAAAGAAAATTATTAGGGTAATTTATGTTAGTTACCATATATGAATCCGTTTACATGTATATATATTCCTACTTTTATTTCAATAAAAAACAAGTAAATGTTCAATATTCATTTCCCTAATTCTTACATGATATCAAATTTAGAGTTAGAGTTAGGATTTTATGGGTTAAATTACATCAGACCAACAGAAGGATTGAACAACCCATTCCCGGAGCCGGAGAAAGACAACCACCAATCTCCGACTAGTTCAGAGTGCGGCCAGCACGATGGTGTACGCGGGAGAAGCCAAGGAGGTTGTTTGCGGGGTAGATTGAGGCTGCGTGCGTCGGGTTTGCCGAAGGAGGGCATTCCCATGCGTGTTGGTTTCCCGTTCGAGGAAAGAAGCCACAAAGGAGCTTGGTCGGTCGGCTCTATGCATGAAACCAGAAGGCCAAAGAAGGGAAAGTCGAGGGGGGGCATATCGCGCGACAGCAAGCAATTCTCCGCTCTCTGACATGATTTGGGGCATTTCTGCGAGCGCCATTTCAAATTAGGGTGAGCATTGGAATTTTGTGGTGATTTCCGACTGAAAGAAGGCTATTTGGTGGTCTCTGGCAACGGTGCATGGGGCAACGCAAATTCTTCAGTGGTTGGTAGTGAGGTTCTAGTAGGGTTGTTGACAGTCATGCTAGAAGATGTACTTTATTTTCTCAAGTTTTCTAGTATATTTGCAATGTTTTTGGTGTATCTCTAACTGTCGTGTTTGGATATTTTTGGGTGATAATTTGTGGATATTCTTGAGTTAAAAATGAATGATAATAAATTTTCGGTGAATGAGATAGTCTCGGTCATGTCAAATATCACTGAGCATAAATTAAATTGCACAAATTATCTGAAGTTGAGCAAAACTATTAAGGTTTATCTATGCAATACTGATAAGGATGATCACTTAACTCAAGACCCTTCCACTTATGGAAATAGACAAATCTGACTAAGAGATGATGTACAGTTGTTTCGCATATTAGAAATTCAACTGATAGTAAAATAATTATCTTAATTAATTACTGTGAGTTTGTTAAAGAACTTATGAATTATTTAGAGTTTCTGTAGTTAGGCAAAAGGAATGTGTCCCGCATGTATAATGTTTGTAAAGTTTTCTATCGTGCTGAAAAGGAGGTCAAATCTCTCATGGTGTACTTTATAGAATTTTAAAAAGACACATGAGGAGCTTAATGTATTTTTGTCATTCAGTGCTGACATCAAGGTACAGCAAACACACTGAGAGCAGATGGTCATAATGAGTTTCTTGGCTAGTCTTCTATCTAAATTTGAGACTTCTAAATCTCAAACTCTATCCAGTTCCGAGATCACAACCCTTCAGGAAGTTTTCAGTAGAGTATTACGCACAAAAACTACTGCATCTAATCAGCATACTAATGTTCTTATTATCAGAAGAGAATGAAGAAATAATAACAGAAGAGGAAATAGAGCAATGGATAGTTGGAACAATGATTCAAGCAATACTGTTTGTTATTACTGTCATGAGCAAGTACATACGAAGTGGCAATACAAGAAATTAAAAAACTGGAATCAGAGAACACAAACTGTTAATATTGCTACTGCTAACTTCTCTTCTGAGAAAACTATTACTGTTTCAGCCAATGAGTATGCAAGATTCTCTCAGTTTCAGGATTTTTTG